TGTCCTGCTGCAGCTGTCGGCTTTGCTGTAAAAACAGGCAAATACTTTTTATGCCTAAAGTAGCAAGAATTATATGGGTTTGCTCAGGTTTCCAGTCCTTTGCATGCGTTTGTAGGAGATGAGCTGTTTTCTGCAGGAAAAGGTGTTTTATTAGGGCAGGCGGTGGTGGTGGAGGGCCGGCGCTGAGGTGATGTGCCACCAGCATGGATGGTGCATCCCCTGAAGATGCAGGCTTGGTGCCGGGCTGTTTAAATACAGACCTTGAGAATCACAGAATCATTATGGTTGGAAGAGACCTCAAAGATCATTAAATCCAACCGTATACCCGATCCCACCATGCCCGCTAAACCCACTAAACTGATAGCCAGGCGAAATCGTTGGCTTTTGCCACCAAAAACTCGAGGCAAATGAATACCATTAGCCACCGTGGAGAATGTGATGTGGCGGTTATGTGCAAGGAGTTCAGCTCTTCTTAAGAGTGACGTTTATAAAGGTGCCGTACCCAGAGGAGAAGGCGCGGAGGGGAACAGATCGGTGGTTTTAATCTTCTTTTCGCAAGGAAAATCAAGTTGGGACAAAGCAGGGAATAATGAGAGGCTGTGTTCATTTAAAACTCGATGGCATCTTTTTTGTTAGGGAATTTCTTTTTTATTTTCTTTTGCATTTTAATTTACGTTATGATATAAAGGTAGACTCTGGTCCATTTATCTTGGCTCCTCCGCACACTCAAAGCCCCGGGTCTCCGGCGTGGCGACGTGTCTTGGGGAGGCTCCGCTTTGGCTTTGCCAAAAATCAGGCCTGGAGTTTGTCCCTGTGTGGTGGCAACCAGCTCCGAGTATTTCAGTTGTCTTCTTGCAGGTGCTTCCAAGGTGGTCAGGACAGCCTTCCCGTGAACCTGGTCTGCTTCTAGGCTCACCCCAAACTATTTCTTTGCTCTTTTTAATTCCTCTTCCAACATCATGGCTCAGTTCTTTAATATTTTTTTTTCTATAGAAGTCTCTTGATGCTGTTTTCTGTAACGTATACCCTACGCAGTCTTTTTGTTTGTTTGTTTTTAAATCTAGAAGGGGACCCAGGACATGGTTTGTGCGAAAGACGCCAGAAAGAGCAGAATCGGGAAAAAACGGTGCTTTTTTTTTCTGTCCTTCTTAATTGATTAACCTTGAAGGCACTGATGGAAAAGCCAGTAGCATCAATTAAGGCGAGCACAGAGCATTGGAGAGGGAGAAGTGGTGCTGGTAACCTCTGATTCCTCTTTTTTAAAACACAGAACGAAGAAGCAAGAGGATTTTTTTTTGCACGTTTGGCATTCTGGGCAAGTAGTTACGCAGGGCTGTTGTGGCGAGCTGCAAAGGGAATCCCACCGCCCGTGGAGTTTGGAGCTTTAATTTATGATACTGGTTCAACCTCAAACCCCCTTGCCCATGCAAAAAAAAAAAACCCAAACAACCCAAGAATATTGTATTTTTCTGTGTGTGCCCCCGCCATGGGGTACTTTGCTGGGTACCACCTGGAGCACAGCCAGCCGCAGTCACGCACAGGGCTGGGTTCGGGCTCCTCGCCGCCCCGGTGAAACCCACTGGTGGCTGGAGATGCTCCCACACAACTCCCAGTGGGTAAATAACCAGCAAAGATGAAAAAAATACGATTCAAACCATATTGTATTTTTCTGTGTGTGCCCCCGCCATGGGGTACTTTGCTGGGTACCACCTGGAGCACAGCCAGCCGCAGTCACGCACAGGGCTGGGTTCGGGCTCCTCGCCGCCCCGGTGAAACCCACTGGTGGCTGGAGATGCTCCCACACAACTCCCAGTGGGTAAATAACCAGCAAAGATGAAAAAAATACGATTCAAACCAAACTGCTGGTGATAATCCCTTTGGGCTCAGGATTTTGAAGGGCGGGGAGGGAAACTTTCGGTACATCTAATTCAGGCAATTGAATATTACTCCCTGCACTGAGTGAGTGATTTAAGCCTGTTTTTCTCTCTCCGGGAGCCGGTGTGCCCAGGGCAGGAGATGGGCAGGAAGCCAGGGAAAGGATTTGGGGTGAATCGGAGGAAGAATTTTTATTGGGGCTGACAACTCTCCCACAGGTTATCGTGGGGGCCTGGGGCTGCTCAGTGCCTCAGGGGGGGGAAAATACCCATGGCAATTATAGTTCCTTAATTGGCTTTTAACTGACCCAATAGCTGAACAATATTCCCTAGAAGAAATTTCAAAATTTGGAGAGGGGAAAAAAAAAAAAAGAAAAATTCACCTTCGGCGACATCCCTACCTCCCTTCCTTGCTCAGCCCCTCTCGCCTCCCTCGGCGTAGGAGCGCTCCTCATCCATCCTAAGCCATTGCAAAGGAGCTCTAAAATAATTTGAGAACTGAATTTTTGCCCTGAAGCAGAGCAGAAGCGAGGGCACAGAAGCTGAAGAGAGGCACTGCCAGGAGAACGGTCCTTTCCTAAACAGCACAACCCCATCCACACCACCCAGAGACGATCCTTTGACCGGGAAACGTACAGGAAAATCCCATCAATGTCCCCACGGAAAAGCCCCTTTCCCCGCACTTGGACCCACCAAGTTGTGCTCTCACCTGCCCGTCGTGTCGAGCCGTGGCCCGGGGTCCCCTGCCCCGACAGCTGATGCCACGTTGAGCCGCCGGGATGGGGAAAACCTCTCCCCAGACAGCAGGAGCTAGCTTTGCTGCTTATTTCCAAGCAATAACGCAGCTGTACCACCGAGGGAAGCAGGAGCCATCCCTCGCAGGCTGGAGAGCTTTGCATCAGCTTTAGGAGGTGCCAGCTGGGGCTGGGTGTGGGTGATGGGGAGGAGGAAGGCTCCCTCCGAGCATCTCCCCACTGCTGTCTTCCCCTTCAGGTGGGGTTGCTCCCCATCCCCTGGGGAAACACTGGCAACGGGAGCAGGGTGGCTGTGGGATATGATGTACGGTGACATCTCGGGATGGCTGGTGGATCCCAAAGTCTCCTTAGCTTCAGAAGCGCTCCTTTTCTTTGCGAAGGCAAAATAAAGCTTTTGCAAGCTCCTCTGCTTGCAAAAAGAGAAGGAAAAAAAAAAAAAACCAAACCAACAACAAAACCGCTTTCTAATGGCTCATCAATCTCATCTCCCTTTTTGCTTTTACCTTTTCTACATTATTTTTTTTCTTTCTACCCTCTCAATAGCTGGGGCAGGCACTGCTGCGCTGTGCGCTCCCCAACTGCCCTCCCCATGCTCGGCAGAGGCCATCCCAGCCATGGCCACCACCACCACCACCCACCAGTGACCAGCCCCACGCTTACACCTCCCAGCCTCTTCCTCCTCGCTCTCTGCTGGGCTGCAATCCCCCAGCGATGCTGTGGTTCGTGCACAGGCACGGTGGTCCTGGGGGACAAGGCGTTTGCAGTGCATCCACCGGGAGAGCTCGAGTAAAGGGGGTGGGTTATAGAGCTGCAAAAGCTTGGGGGGAGACAGGAGGTATTGCTGCTGCCGCGTGAAAAGATGGGACTTCCCCTTCCAGGGCTGGTGAGAAACCCTCTTTGCTTCCCCAAGAGCATCTTCAGAAAAGCATCGGGGCACAAATGTGTGTGTGCGCTGGGAGGGAGGTCGGACACGGCATCAGGGCCCATGGGATTTATCAACTCTTTGCCGGCATTTTTGTCCTCGAATGTCACCTTTTGGAAATATCAGCCCGAGACTGTGCGTCAGGCTGGAGGGACTCTGGCAAGTCCCTCGGCGTGGTGGGACGTGGGCAATACGTGGTGTCGACACAGGGAGGGAATGATGTCAGGGCACGGGCAGTGGGTCCCACGGGAAGGGGACGCAGGAAAAGCCCCAGGGATGACACGGCTGATGTTTAAGGGCATGTGTCAGGGGGAGAAGCGAGAATTTGAGGGAGAAATACCTGCAGGCGAGGGAGCCAGGTGTACCAGTGGGTACCAGACTGGAGCCTGTATGCATTTGAGCCCCCGGGCTCCCTGGTGCACACAGGAAGGGCTCTCCCCTGTCCCGCTGCGATGACGGGCTTTCAGACCAAGATCTCCTCTCCTCCGCCAAGGTTTTGTCCAGCAGCAGCTGCCGGCTGTGAGTTGGATCAAGCAGGGAGTGAGCAAGCAGAATACAAGCAAGGTTGGAGCAAGTTGGGTTGGAGAAAGCAGGGCTGGAGCAAGCAGGGAGCGAGCAGGGTTAGAGGTAGAGGTGGTGAGCTCACCAGCAGCATCCCAGTGCTTTCCAGCAGAAAGAAGCAGACGGGGATGAATGTCTCGGTCCTGGGCCAATGCTGCTCCTGGTGAACCCTTCAGCATTTCCAAAAGAGCGGCACGTCGGGCGTGGGTCTTGCGGTGGGGACGGCGGGGATCCATGGGTGCTAAGCACCTGTGAGTGGAGCTCCATGCGTCAGAAGTGATGCTGGAGGTTAGGAGAGCTGTCGGTCACCTTCCAGCCGCTACGAAAGCTTTTGGCTGGTAGTCAGCAGGCAAGGAAGGGAGAAGTCATGGGGAGAAAAAGTAGTTTATGGGCAGAGAAAAACAGAAAGGAAAGGATTTGTCTGCAGGCAGTGAATGAACCAGCTTCACGCATCGCCTCGTGAGCTTGGTCTGGTTCCTCCAGGGCTGCCGAAAGAGCCTGACTGCTGAGCGGCTCTCATCGGTGTTGCAGACTCCCGGCTGCTCCTCTGGTGCTCTGGCAAGGTGGTTGAAGGCGATTTGGGGTCTGACTGTGATTTAGCTTTTGCTAAAGACCTGCCTTCTTCCACCAAATCCTCTTTCCCGCAAAGTTTCGGGGTCCCCAGGAAAGTCCACGCTCAGCGTCACCAAGGATGGCACTGAATGAGACGGGCAATCAAGATGAAGCGAGCCCTTCCCTTGGTCACCTTCCCCACCCGGTACTGCCCGAGCTGGGATGAGCCACTCCAGAGGCACTGGGCAAAGCCGGTGGGCAACAGTGGGAGGTTGTGGGGCTCAGCGGGTCCAGCCAAATCCCCCTGCACCCTTTTCCCTTGTCCTCCTCCTCCAGAGCGAGCCCGGGATTACCTGCACAAGACCGGACGCTTCATCGTCATCGGTGGCATTGTCTCGCCCGTGCACGACTCCTACGGGAAGACGGTGGGTTGTCCTCCTTTTCCCTTTCTCCCTCCTATGTGCGATGGCATCTCTGAAGCCAGGGGCAAGCACTGGGTGGTGCTGCCTGTGCTCGTGGTCCTTTCATGGACCTCCTCCACCCAGGGCAGCTCCTGACCATGGGAAAGTCTCCGAGAGGAGGGAGAGGATGAAAGCCCTTGCTAGATTAAAAATGGTACTGGGATCCTACAAGCAGCTGAAGTACTAGACAGCAAAAAGAAACATTCTCACCCAAAATGGTGATGGCCATCTTGTTGGGCTGGGTTTGGGTTTTTTTGGTTGGTTGGCTTTTTGAATGATTTCAAAGCCAATTTTATTGTGGGGATGGCGACAATGCAAACAAGGACCTTTAGAAGCGCTTTTGGCAGCGGGCAGGAAATCCAAATTAGGAGAGGAGTTTCCTCCTGAAAGCTGAAGAAATTTCATCAAGAAGCCACCGCCCCCGGGTGGTCTGGCCCCGCTGCAGCACAGGGCTGAGGGTGGTGGTGCTGAGCAAATCCCACTGATGGGTGCGTGAGCGGGGCCGAAGCAAGGCAGGGACTCCTCCCCTCCAGCCAACAGGAGCTGAAATACATTTTTGTGGGTAGGAACAAATCCTTCTGGCCTCTCTCATCGGAGCGAGCCCGATGCTCTGCCCCAGGAAGATTTGCAAGCCCAGGCTGGCCAGGGCACGATGCTTGCCTCCCATAACCATTCCTCCATCACCTTCTCTTGCAGGGTCTGGTCTCCAGCCGGCACCGCCTGACCATGTGCCAACTGGCGGTCCAGTCCTCCGACTGGATCAGGTGAGCGGCAAA